AAGTCAACAAGTCAACAAGGGTAAAATCGTAAATATGAAATTATATACACAATTTCTGACCTGTCGGATATCTGGATTCTCATCATTGCATGCGTCAAGAAGGAAAGGGATATATGTATCATAATATCTGGTTTGTAATTAAAAAAATATTAAAAAAAATCTGAAGGTTAAAAAGGTAATTATGGTAAGTATTATGCAAGGTAATGTACTTTAAAGCCGCTTCGCGACACTGCTCTGCCATGTCATCAAAGATGCAAATAGCAATTTGTCTCTCTTCTGTTGTCTTATCCTTGCCCTTCAAAACATTAAAAATAATAAATCTAATTGCTTTAAAAAATGTATAATCAAAATAAGAAAATAAAAAATGAAATTTGGATTAGAATACTGAATACTTACCCACATGGGCATTATATAAGATGATAACTCATCAAAGAAAGGTAAAAAGGAAGCTTTAAATGTTTTCACCAAAGTTCCCAAAATTTCACCAACCTGTTAACGAAAATTAGTCAAAAAGATAAGGTTTATAAGATTCATGTCAATAGTAAAAAAAATGGTTATTTATTGGGAAAAAAGAAAAGTCAACAAACTTGGTCAAAGACTTCTTCTTCTTGCTCATTTTGTTCTTTAAGAAGCTCTCCTTCTGCATCAAAATCTTCAGCATTTGTCCTTTCAGCTCTTTCTTTTTTTCTGCTTGAACTTGCTGTAATCACCTGTTTTATTTCATCAACAATGCTTCTCACTTGATTTTCATCTAAAACTTGTCCATAAATCTGAAAAAAAAAACAAATGTCAAAAATTGGAAAAATCATAAATCTAATGTGTAAACAAAATAAAGAAAATGATTATTGACCCAACCTCTAGACATTCATTCAAAGCATCCAACATATTTGCACAAGTTTCTGTATCAGGCTCCTGAAAAAGATCAAGTAAAGTTTGTAAAAAACTAAAAACAGTCGATATAAAGTAGTTAAAAGGATATAAATGGAATTAATTTATTTATAGTATAATAAAATAATAATCACCTTATGTAAAGCTTCAACTAAAGCTGGAACTATATAGTCAAAAAGTTCTTTTATATAAGATCCATCACGACCCTGTGCAAGTCCTTTCTCTATAGCTAATTTAGCATACCTTAAAAGCTCAGGCATTGCTAAAAAATAAAAATAAAAAAATAAATAAGTATTTTTTTTATTAAAATTTGTAATGTTGATTGTGAACAGGATAGACAATAAACAATAAAAACCTGAAAGAACTGCTTTTCAAACTTCTTCATGAAAGTAGAATTTAAGAAAGGGTACTAATGTAGGGGCAACCTGGTCAATTTACACATCAAGAACTCCATAAGCTAAGATAATAGATAATAATCAATTACAATTTACAAATATCATGAAAGATGACTAACTTGGTCAATCCATGGGTAAAATCTCTCGTACCAACACGTAAGGGAAACATAGAGCTGTTAGCAGCTTCATCACAATCTCCTGCAGCATCCATACTCCTTGCAGCCGAGAGAACCTGTTTTCTCCCACCCTCTCGAATTTCACCCGCCAGCTGTCGTCCACCAGTGGCGCCATCTGGTCCAGCATCACCAACTGCGTCCAGGTTTTTTTCTTTAAAACAACGCTTAAGAAGAAATTTTTATGTCTTTAATCTTTATTTTTTTCTTTTCCCCAAAATTTTAATTTCATCAGGTTCATCCATAGCTTGTTGGACATATGCTATGGAATGAAGTAGAAAAATCGCCATCAGGGGAAGGTAAGACTTTCTCTTTCTTGCATTTGGTCCTTACTATGAGAAGAAGTCGTTCTTAATCCAATTATGAAATTTGATGCATGGGTTACTTGGTTGAGACTGTTAAAGACTTGTAACTTGGCCAGAAACCAGTGGTCAATACAGTTACAGTCAAGTCAATCCCAGGATTCACATTTGTGTTATGTCCTAAATACTCTTCAAAATGGGATTGGTTTTCTTTAGCTAATGTTAAATCTGTTACCTGAAAAATTATATAAAATATATAATATAATATAATATATAAAAAGAATATGAATTTGACACTTAATTACCACTCCCTCCATCTTTGAAGTAAACTGGCCACCATTGGCACTTTTGTCAAATAGCAACCTCCGAGCAAGTTTTTTCCTAAAATTACAATCATAATAAAATAAATAACTGCAAAAATTGTTTATATGTAAAATAAGTCATTTATTTACCTATAGAATTCAGCAAACAGATCTTTATCGATGATGTAAGCAAGCAGCTTAACTACCTGTAAATGTAAATAAATATTAAATATTAAATAACTTCCTAGTATTATTATATAGTATAGGAACATGCCTTCTCAAGTGTGTCTTCAATGGCTTCATCGCTTAATTTCTCACTTCCACCTTTTTTAAGAATATTATCACAAAATGTGGCCAATAATTCTGCACTTGAACTTCCGGAAACGCCCTTGTTGCAGAATACTTCAAATGCTTCTTTAAGCGCCTAGAGAGTAAGAATATAAAGGATAAAATAGTAAATAACAAGTTATAATTCAGTGAATTAATAATGCAAATATACAAACCTTATGAAATAGGGTGTGGTTCATAAAACAGTCATTTACATAAGTCATGTACTTGTCATGCAACTCAATCACTTTTCTAACAAAAACCTGGAAACCAGACCACAATCAATTGTATTATTATTATTATTATTATTATTATTATTATTATTATTATTATTATTATTATTAAATAGTTACTTTTTTTTATAAAAAAAATTGTGAAAGTTCAATTTTTTTAAAATTTACCTGTTCCTGCAAGCCAACCACAAGCTCTCTGAGCATGAATTCACCATGTTTCTCTCTCAAAGAAGGTAAAACCTGAAGCAGAGACATTGATCTTAGATCCACCCAAAAGTAAATGTAAATCACATAGGATTTTTCACAGCTTATCTAAGAAAAGTTTATATCATTTGTGGTTCTTTATTTATTACTAATGATAGATAGCCAACTACAGTCGACAACTTTATACTTTCATCTTATAAACATTCATCTAGTAAAGATGAATTTTAGCTGATCATATGAATGATGTGTTTTTCATCACTTACACAATAAATTCAATTTTCTATCAAGTACATAAAGTAAGCTTTTTGTTTTATGAGGAAATGAAATTCAATTGTATATATAGTACATCAATAGTGACTATTAAGTCAAAAAAACAACACCTATCAGAGAGAGAGAGAGAGAGAGAGAACCTTTGAGAAATGATAACCTTCAGGCACAGATATTTGAAGGCTTAATTTGCCCTCATTGGAAGAACCACCATCAACTACAATTGTTTGTGTGTCAGCTGAATTTCGTTTTCTAAGGCGAATTGGAGATCTTGATTTTTGGTACAGGAGGCTGAACTCCTTTTAGCTCAAGTGTAACAACTTATGCATCTTCTTTGTTCAGATCCAAATAT